GCTAATGAGGTTAGGACACTCTTGTATACATAAAATGGAAGGATTACATGATTTAATAAAATTACCATAGGAGATAAGATATCACACAACTTTACAGTGTGTGTGTGTGTGTGTGTGTGTGTGTGGAGAGGGTTGTTGGGCCACACCCAGTGGTGTTCAGGGTTTATTCTGGCTCTCTGCTCAAAGGTTACTTCCCGTAGTGCGGGAGGCAGAATGGGGGTGGGGATGGAGAGGAGCAGTTGTGGTGCAAGGGATTGAATTGGGGTCCGCTTCTTGTAAGGCAAGAGCCTTATCCCCTGTATTTGCCTCTCTATCCCCCAGCGTAGTCTTTTTCTCTATTTAATCACTGAAATTTGCAAAGTTGCTCACAATACAGTTGTTTCAGACAATTCAATATTTCAACACCAGTCCCACCACTGGAGTACAAAGTGTGGGTGCATTCGGTGTCTGATGAACAAAGGAACGAAGGAATGGGGCGCTAGGCTGGTTGGTAATCAGTGATCCTTTATTTCATTTCCTTCCCTACTTCTCTCTCACAGCACTATGGGAAGTAACCTTTGAGCAGAGAGCCAGAATAAACCCTGAGCACCGCTGGGTGTGGCCCAACAACCCTCTCCACACACACACACACACACACACACACACACACTGTAAAGTTGTGTGATATCTTATCTCCTATGGTAATTTTATTAAATCATGTAATCCTTCCATTTTATGTATACAAGAGAAAATTATATAGAAATTATATAGAAATTGTGAAAGGTGGGGACACACATAGGTGGGGTTGAACATTATCATAACAATAAATAAACAGATGTAAAGCCCCTCCTTCAGAAAGGGAAGTTCTTCTAGGAGATTAATTCAAGGGTTCAGCACTGGATTACTAGGAGATCCTCTTAAAGGCAGGATTCTAAGGGTGTATTGCTTTCTTCTTTCCTTAGCTAGTAATCCACTTATTTCTGATCATTTTGTATGAACACAGTAAGAGATATATTAAGTTTAAAAGTTGGCTCTTCCTATATATATCCCAGACCACAGTCCTCAGACCAGGTTAGTCTTTCCTAACCCCAGCAGAGTCCTTATTCAGTTATGTCTTTTTGGATCATGACAGAGTTTATTCCATGACCGTGCTCTTAACTTTTTACACTTCTTATGGCATTTAGCCTGTCCCTTTTCAATGCCAAGGTAGCTTACAGCTTTCCCTGGGTCCATCCAATTCCCTCATCAGGACCTCCTTTTGGTGGGGGTGGGGGTTTTTGGAAGTAAGGGCAACTGAAGCTTAAGTAAGGTAAATATGATGGGTGCCCAGAAGCAAATATTATTTGGAGTCAATTAACTTCCATGTTATAAAAACATAGCATCAACTGTCTTCCTGTGTTTATACAAAAAGGATATTGCTAAACCATGCTGGCAAAAGACATAGAGGAAAGAGAAAAGCAATATAGGATTATTTAATTATTTAATTATTTCCACCTGATGGAATTAGGTGTGCCTCAGGAGGTGAGGCAATTAGGTGGTGGGAGTAACTCAATAAACCTAAACTCCCTGCAGGAGGAGCAAGGACAGACCAATGTTATTCAACACATCAGCAGTGTGTCCTTACCTCCACCAGTGTCCCTAGTTTCCTAAACCTCCAGCCTTCTCCCTTAGCAAGTACTAATTAATTTACTTTATATTGCTTATTACAACATATATCTCATAACGGTATTGCTAAAATCATAGCCCGAGGGACTTACTGAGCTGTTAGGTTCTAGTTGGACTGTCTGTATTATTGTTTCCACTCATCATCTTTCTCTATCCTTTTTTTTTCTTTTTTGGGTCACACCCAGCGATGCACAGGGGTTACTCCTGGTTCATACAATCAGGAATTACTCCTGGCCGTGCTTGGGGGACCATATGGGATGCTGGGAATTGAACCCGTGCAAGGCAAACGCCCTACCCACTGTGCTATCACTCCAGCCCCTCTTTCTCTATCTTTTATGATCCCTCCTTCCTTCCCTTTTCTCCTTCCCTCCCCCCTCCCTCCCTCCCTCCCTCCCTCCCTCCCTTCCTTCCTTCCTTCCTTCCTTCCTTCCTTCCTTCCTTCCTTCCTTCCTTTCTTTTTTCCTTCATAAACCTTTGCAATCTAAGGGCCCATTTTATCTTCAGATGATATTTCAGACTACCTTTAACAAGGAGGTAGAAATTCAATGCTATTTATTTATTTTTTAAACTGGTCTTACAAAGTTTTGTGAATGTAGATTTTGGTTATTTTTAAATCAGTGACCTGTTTTCGAGTCTTCTTGTTAAAAAACTTTGCACTGCAGGAAGAAGTGAAGATGTGAACTGTATCCACTTGCCCTTAACTGAACCACAAATCTACATAACTCACGATCACAAGTTCTCTCTCCAAAGATTTGCTCTTTAAGTTAACAGCTGCAGAAGAGAAAAATGTTATCTTCCTAAAAACTTGCTTATTCTCATAATCGAATATATTACACGTCAGATTTCTGACTTTTCTGATTCCAGATATTTGGCATCAGGCCCTGGAATTCACATGTCTGTCAAGTTATAAAGGGCTACCGTCTCTGCCACTGGTGCTGGGAGCATGTTTTGTTTGTTGCTTTGGTTTTTGGGCCACACCCAACAGTGCTCAGGGCTTACAACTGGCTCTGTGCTCAGAGATTACTCCTAGCAGTGCTCTGGGGATCATATATAATGCTGGTATTAAACTCGGCTAAGCTGTGCACGAGGCAAATGCCCTACTTGCTGGTCTAGCTTGCCAGTCCTGTGGGAACATGTGTTAAGAATCACTAATCTATCTCAGATCAGGGGAATAAAATTGAGAGTCTAGACACAGACCTTCACATCTACAGATAGTTCATTGTTGATAAAGAAGCAAAAAGTATGAAGTGAATCAAGGAAAACTTCAACAAATGTTTGTAGGAAAACTGGTTTGTCACATGCAAAAAAAAAAAAAAAAAAAGGAACTCAGCTCTGTTTCTAACACCATGCACAAAACTTCAAGTTAAAAGGGACTAAAGACCTCCAGATCAGACTTCAATCCATAAATCATATTGAGGAAAGCACAGGCAGAACTAATGTCCCAACGTCTCTCTAATGCTGCCTCCTCCCTGAAGTCTTCCAGGCTTTGTCTCTTGCCTCAGCAGAAACCTATTTTCCTAAATTCCATCAACAAAAGACCTGATTTCTTCTCTTTTTCAGTATCACCTTTGCTGATACTTGTGTTGTTTTTTTTTTTAATTTCTTCCAAAAGATTGTAAATTCATGGGCAGCCAGATCAAATATAGTTAAGTTGGATCTTGAGTGTAATAGTTCAATAAATGCTTTCATATGTGGAACAAAAAATGATATTCAAGAGATGGGTAACCTTTTCCTAATGCAGCCCTTACCCCCCAAAGCTGCCTGCAAAACTAGTTCCAGTGGTATCCCCCTGCCCCCATCCCCTGGACACTCTGCTAGATAGTCACTTATCTGTCAAAATTCCTGGGAAAGAATCACTAAAACTTTTTGTTTAAGTAAATTTTATGCTTGCTTTATTAGATATAAAGTTCAGTGTAAACTAGCTGCCACAGGTGTACTTGGCTCTGTAAGTCTCAAAAACCCGTTGAGAAGAGCAAGGGCATTTGATAGTTAAATTCTCTACCAGGTGACTTCTTTGAGCAAATTCCCATTCAGCTTTTCTCTCATGAAACTAGCCCTTCAGCATGACTCGTAGGGGCAAGGTGCACTGATGGTCATGTTTTTAGCTTATTATCCAAAGTTCAGAGAAGCCAAAAAGCATGGACTCAGAATTTAACGGTATGGAATTCTTTTTTTTTTCTTTTTGGGTCACAACCAACGATGCTCAGGGGTTACTCCTGGCTTTTCACTCAGGAATTACTCCTGGAGGTGCTTGGGGGACCATATGGGATGCCAGGGATCGAACCTGGGTGGGCTGCATGAAAGGCAAACACCCTACCGGCTGTACTATTGCTCCAGCCCCATTCCATTCCAGTTAATCCCACACTTGAGCCTTCTGAAACCAGAAAAGCAATCCCCCAATATTCCACCAATACTCTATGTTCCCTGAGATGTGAGCTGAGAATATTTCTAGCTATTTAAACCTGGTTGTTTGCACGTAATAGGAACTTCTATTGCTTTGATATTTTCTTAGTAACTTTCCTCTCCAATTTCTCTTTTACCTCCACACACATTGCATGTATTCTTAATAAATATGCTAAAGTCTCCAATTTGCCATAAAGTTTTCTGAGTCACTTATATGCTTAAATTCTACTCAAAAATACTTCAGGCACCCCATTTATTCACACTCAATGGTTTTACTAATATCTCCTAACTTCCTCTTATTTCTCAAGTTTCCAAGTTGCCTTCCTGCTGGGATTGCACCTGATCTACAATGCTGATACAAATTCCTGAAGAAAATTCACACCATGGTTCTGTTTCTGGGTCTCAAAACATTCCTATGCGATGAAGAACTACATTTTTTCTTCCGAACTCAAAATTCTCTGATTTTCTCCCATTTAGGATTGCTATAAAGAAAACAGAGTCCTTGTATTCATAGTATCCTCTTCCACAGCTTGAGATAGAAAATTTGACTCAACTTAATTTAAGCAAAAGTGCAATTTACTATCTCGTATAATTTGGGCTGCCTTGTAGGAGCTCAGAACTAAATATTGGTATCCCTAAATGACACAATTCTCTAGCAATGAATGACTCTTGTATAGATGCTATATTAAGGAGAACAATTCTTATAATACCAAACCCATGGGCTAGAGCGATAGCACAGTGGTAGGGTGTTTGCCTTGCGCGTGGCCAGCCTGACTGAGCCGGGTTCGATTCCTCCGCCCCTCTTGGAGAGCCCAGCAAACCACTGAGAGTATCTCACCCCCATGGCAAAGCCTGGCAAGCTCCCCGTATTCGATATGCCAAACGCAGTAACAACAAGTCTCACAATGGAGACGTTACTGGGCCCGCTGGAGCAAATCGATGAACAACGGGAGGATGGTGCTACAGTGCAATTTATTGATTGATGTAACAACAACAACAGAAAAAGCTGGAGCATCTAATTTCAGGTTCATTCTGCTTGAGGGACTCGTACACGTGTCCTCAGGATGCCGTTTCTTTTCATTTCTCAGCTCTTCCTTGTGTTATCTCCATCTTAGTTGAAGCTGCGCTCTCCCAACTCCCTTTTGTCCCTCATTGCAGCTCGTCATTCCTCTTCTGTATTGATTCTATCTTGAAAATTAAGGGTCTTCACCCCACTCTCAATCTCAGTTCAAAGCTGTTGCCCTGAGTCCATTTCACGGGCTGACTGGGTCATTTTCAATTTCTGCATGAATGTCTGTGTTCACAGAGAAGAACCAGACCGAGGAACCACCGTTTGTAGGGAGGCGCTGTGCCAGTTCTACAGTAATTGATTTCCAAGAGAGGAGGTCCCCTCGGTATTCTGGGGGCCTTCTCTGAAATGAGGCAAAAAAAAAAAAAGGGCGCAGGAAGAGCAAAACCACATGTTTCCTTTATATTCCGCTTTTGGAAGAGATGAGGGCACTGGTCAAAAGCGACAGAGAGGCAACGATGACAGGAACAGGGAGATGCTTTCTGCCGGAAGCTGTTCAAAAAAAAAAGAGAAAAAAGAAAAAAGATGTTTTAACTAGAAAAGGCTTTTGTTTTTTAAAACGACCGCATTTCATTGTAGACTAACTTTTTTTTTCACACCTGGTAGTGCTCAGGGCCTCCTCATGACCCTGGTCTTGAGGGTACCCCTGGCAGTGCTTGCTTGGGAGCTTATGCGGTGCTGGGAAATTCACCTGGGTCTCTGTTGGATAACATTCCTGTTGTCCTCGCTCCTTCCTCAGGGAGCTTAGGTTTATTGAGCTACTCCCATAACAGTGCCCCCGAGGCACACCCAATTCCTCAAGCACTAATAATCCTATATTGTTTTTCTCTTTCCCTTATGTCACTTGCATGGTTTAGCAATGCCCTTTTTGTATAGACACAGGAAGACAGTTGATCTATGCTTTGTAACATGGGAGTTAATTGACTCAAAATAATATTTATTTCCCAGCATCCATTTTTATTTAACTTAAGCCTCAGTTGCCCTTAGTTCCTAGCACTCCAAAGCAGGGTCCCAACGAAGGGACTGGACGGACACAAGGCAAGCTGTAAGCTACTCTGGCATCAAAAGGGAACAAGTTAAGCAGCATAAGTAATAAGTTAAGAGCACAGTCCTGGAACAAACTCGGTCATGACCTAAAAAGAAGTAACTGAATAAAGACCCTGCTGGGGTTAAGAAAGACTAACCTGGCCTGAGAACTTTGATCTGGAATATATAGTGAGATGTCCCCAGGAAAGCCAGCCTTTAAGTTTAACATATCTCTTACTGTGTTCATACAAAATGACTAGAAATATTAAAAGAAGTAGATTTAATATGATTGTTTAAATGGATTACTAGCTAAGGAAAGGAAAAAGCAATACACCCTGGATGGATTCCCCCCTTGAGCGGATCTCCTAGTAATCTGGAGTGCTGAACCCTCAGGTGAGATTTTGTCCTTAAATTAATTTCTTAGAACTTCCCCTGAAGAAGTGGCTTTACCTTTGTTTGTTGTTATGACGATGTTCAACCCCACCTATATGTACCCCACCTTCATGATGTCTCTATAACTATGCTGTAAGGGGAAGGAGGGGGATATAATGAAGTAGAGGACTTTGAGGTAAGGAGGAAGAAGAATATAAGGAAGACGAGGAGGATGAGGACAAGGATGATGGAACTATGATGACTGGGACTATGGCCAAAACTACAACTACAATTATGGTGTAAAGGGAGAGATCACACTACAATGGGGAGGAGGGGAAATAAGCTGTCTACCAACAAGCCTGGGGCCCTGTATCTCCATTTCCTGATCCTTCATCTGTCTGTCGGCATGGGCTGGCCTGGGGAGATGGCTCTCACGATTTTCCTTGGAAACTCACAGGTCTTCAACATGAAAACCACGTACTTAGAGGTAGACTCACATTTTTAACTTCGAAATTTCTTACAAGGGGCCAGAATGATGGCAACAAAGGCATGGTAGGTAGGACACTTGCCTTGCATGCTGCTGACTTGGGTTTGATCCCTGGAACCACATATGGCCCCCTAGGCCTGCCAGGAGTGATCCCTGAGCACAGAGTACAGAGCCAGGAGAAAGCCCTGAGCACAACCAGGTCTGACCTCAATAACGAACAAAAACGAACCAAAAAGGAAATTTCTTTTTTTTTTTCTTTTTGGGTCACATCCTGTGATGCACAGGGGAATTCTTGACTCTGCACTCAGGAATGACTCCTGGCAGTGTTCGGGGGACCATATTGGATGCTGGGAATCAAACCCGGGTCAGTTGTGTGCAAGGCAAACACCCTACCCACTGTGCTATCGCTCCAGCACCCCCAAAGAAATTCCTAATAAAATATTTGAAGGTATCCACCTTAAAAAATAAACAAGATAAACAAAACAAAAACAAAACACCTATTCTTAGATTTTTCTCACTTAATAGACCTAAGATTCCTTATTTGCAGATAATAAAACAGGCACCTCCAAAAGTTCAGAGGTTTGTCTCTGGTTACCCAGCTGACTGGGAATCACCAATAGGCCTATCTATTACCATCATTTTCATCACCATTTTGAAAGCTAACATTGATGGAATATTTCATTATTCTGTGGTAGGCAGTGTTTTAAGCACTTGAAATAAATTATGTAGTTCTCGTGACAAACTTGTGAGGTATTTATTCTCATTATCTTCAGTTTAAATCAATAAGGCGCAGAGATGGGAAGAAACATGCCAAACATCTCTGAGCTTTTAGGTATCATTCTCATTTAGTGGCGCAAGCTCCTACTGGCTCCAAAGTCTGTTGCCTTTACATCAGGGCACTCAGTCTCCCAGACTCATTTAATTTCCCACTCCTCCTCCCCCCAAATCCCATTTTACAATATTAAAATCACTGAGACAAAGAGAGACTAAATGCTTTGCTCACATTCTCACTAATTGGTGGGATTAGCATGTAAAATTAGGCTTTCCGTAAACAACTGACCATATTTTTTTTCTAGAAGTATGCTTAAGAATTTTGCTTATGTGAAAAATTTGAACAAATAAGCCCCTCTTCTTTGTGAGTCCAGTGATACAGAACAGAGCATGTTCTTGTGTGTATACAGATTTTTGGCACTAGTTACTTTGCTGAATGAAGCAACATTTAAGGACAAATAATGAACATATTTTGAGTTTTCCAGCGGCATGAAAACATCCATTACTGTGGTAACCTCTCATGTGAGGGGTGAGAGAAGTATTAGAAGGCAAAACTGTTCATTCAGCATCCCTTAAATAATTTTTCTTTTGCAAATTTACTCCCTTCAGAGTGAGGATTGGACCTCACCAGCTGTGGTCAGGGTTTATTTCTGGCTTTGTGCTCAGGGATCACTCCTAGAGATTCTTGGGGGACCCTATAGGATGCCATGGATAGAATCTGGAAAATTCACATGCAAGGAAAATATTCTGCCAGCTGTACTATCTCTGTGGACCCTAATTTGACTTATTGAATCTCTAAAGGTGACAAATTTCTGGGAACTCAGAATTTGTAAACTTCAGTTATAGAAAACAGATCCAATAAAAATAAACAGAAGGAGTGAATGTGGGGTCAAAGTGTCTAGATTTTCTGACAGCTTTTCCAATACTTTGTACTCCATTTCTTGCCCACAAAACGTTTACAGAAAGTAGAAGATTATGGAATCCCTTAAGTCATGTTTGGGATTTGAAATATCTAGTCAAGACAAATCACACTTCCAGAATCTTGTAATATGCATGGCCATTCCTGCTAATCTTTCATGGAAAACCAAGTTGTAATTGTGTTGGAGTAGTTTAACCAGAAGAAAGTGGAGATCATTAATATCATTACTTTGGAGGGTGGTGGTAGGGTCCTGAAACATTTTCCTGGACAGTTACAAAGCATATATATATAATATATACATATATTATATTTATATACCCCTCCATTATTTTCTTACTCCTTGACCTAAATGTTTCACTATTTTTTCTTACTTAACATATATTACAGGGTTAATTAACATAACAGAAAAACAGTCTATTAAATTCATAAGAACCAAGTAGTAGTATCTTGTGCCAAACAATGTCCTGTTCAGGCATATTTTCAAAGAATCCTGGCACCTGAATATGAGTGTTCTCATTGATTATCAAAAAAATCTCAGTTTTATTCATATTATATCCCAGCTTTTCCTTCTTTGCAAACACCCTAATCTTTCAAATCTGTGGCACAGACACTCATTTTCTTCTTGTGGTGTTGCTTGCCGCAGGCCCAGGAGAGGAGGGAGGAGTTTGGTAGGTTTCCTCACTCCTGGCCCGCGATGGCAGACAGGCCAGAGGGAGCAGAGCCCAGGTCTTAGTGCGGGTGGGTGCCAGACTAGGGACTTTTCTGAGACACAAAACACTTGAAGTGTGGGGAATGTTGAGATGCTGAATTATCAATAGCAGCAGTCAGGTTGGAACTATTTCGAAGAAAGTCCCTGGGCTGGGCTGCTGTTAGCTGTGGGTGTGATTGCATGTCCCGATCGATGATGCTGGGTTTTCTTTCACATCCAACAGGGCACCACGTTTGCTACAGAACGATTGTTTTGTGAAATGGTTGTGCCTGGCTGTAGGATAACATTGGGTTTATCTTTTCAACCTTGCCACAAGGGAATTTAGTTTATTTTAAAGCAATGTCCTTTATGTATGGACACAGGAAGACAGTTAATATTATGCTTTGTACCTTGGGAGTTGATTGACTCTGAATAATATTTACTCCTGGGCATCTGCTTTCTTGACTCAGTTGTCCTTAGTTCCTAGAACCCCCAAAGCAGAGTCCTGATGAGGGACTGAGTGGACCCACGCAAGCTGTGAGCTACCCTGGCATCAAGATGGGCCAGGCCAAAGCGCCACAATACTCAACTATAAGTTGAGAGCATGATCATGGACAAATGCTATCATGATCCAAAAGTAACGACTTGAGATAAAGACCCTGCTGGGGTTAGGAAGAGCAATCTGGCCTGAGAACTGTGGTTTGGAATGTGATGTAAGATGTTCTCAGGAAGAAAAAAACTTTAAGTTGGTATATCTCTTACTGTGCACATACAGAATGACATTGCTAGAAATATTAGAAGTAGATTCACTACAACTGTTTAAGTGGATTACTAGCTGAGGAAAGAAGAAAGCAACACAACTCCTAAAACGTTATCATTCTCTATAATATAAAGTTTGAAAGTCTTTGGCATGAAATCCAAGAGTTTCCACTGTCTGGGTCTGTCAATCTATTCCCTCTTTCCCCGCCAGTCTCATCCTATATTCCAGCCATTCATATTTGGACATTTCTTGAAGATACCAGGTTGTCTGAAACCTACACGATTTCACGTTTACCATTTTTTGCTTGGGATGACTTTTTTTCTCTTCTCTCATGGACTGTTCCCTCTTCAAATTCCATGTGGTCTTCTCCTGTGAAAGTGTCCTCACTTTTTCTGGACACAATCCGTAGCTGACTGCCTGAAGCAGTCACCAAGAGAGCATTATCCTCTGATAAATAACTTAGGACTTTTGTGTGTAGGCACTAGTTCTTAATTTCCTGGATTAAAAGTCCTCCCAAGAGAGTGATTTTACTTTATTGATTTTGTGTCACCCAGGTCTCCTATCCCAGTCCTTGGAACATAGATAATGACAGCTGAGGAAAGTGAATGAATAAAGCTTTGCTTCCTGTTTTATCTCTGTACTCCTCATTCACACAAGGGCTCATGATAAAGATAAGAAAAGATTTCAGAGGGAAAAGGAGAAAATTCTGTGGTTTCTTTTTTTCATAATTTTAGGGCAGGGGGTGGGTGGAGGAGGGGAAGGGCACACCTGGTGGTGCTCAGGCGCTACTCCTAGTTCTGTGCTCAGGGGTCACTTCTGGTATTGTTCAGTGGTTACTCCTGGTTTTGTGCTCAGGGGTCACTCCTGGTGTTGCTCAGGCATTATTCATGATTCTTTGCTCAGAAGGTGCCCTGGTGGTACTCAGGGTAATTATATGTGTGCCAGAGATGAAATCAGGGCTGGCAGCCAGCATGCAAAGTAAGCACTGCAGCCTCAGTACTGCCTCTCCAGAATAGAATGCTATAGTTTCTGCACTCTCTTTTCCAGTGGACATTTAATCTCTCTGTCTAGAATTCTGTACTCCTAGTGTTACTGTAGAAACATATTTTCCTAAGATAATTGAGAAAAAAAGGAGCACCAAGAAAGAAAGCAGGTTTGCTTAGTCCCTTAATCCCACCATTCCAAGACCAATGATATGTTTTTGGTCTTTTCTTCCCAAGCCCACTCAGAAACAGAACTTGTGAAGAAGAGCACCAGTCTGTGATCCCGACAGGACAGCGTCAATTGAACTCAACATTCATACCTTTTAGCAGTTGGCAGTTGTATGTACTGAAGTTCCCAGTGGAATGCAGTTGCACCCAATTTCCTTTTGGGAGGGAGGTCACATTGACCACTTCAAACAACTCGTAGGGAGGGACCAGGACCTCCTTCTTGAGAGTGAAATACTCCACAGGTATACCCAGGCAGGTCGATATGCTAAACAGAGTTTTGTTTCCCAACTTCGGTGTATCTTCTCTGAGGAGGGAGGCAGAAAGGAATTGGCCAAATCGAAGTGTGTCACCAATGGATGCTTCCAAGGACACATTCGTTGCCTCATGACGCACTTTGTAACAGTGAGAGTCATTGTTCCTGAGCATTTGTTTCCTCAGCAGCTGGATGGCCGAGGTCAGATAGTAGTGGAGGTATTTGAAGTGGAAGGCATGTGAATACTGTGCTGCAGACTGACCCGTGCTGGCCATGACTCTGGTGAATTCGGAGCGGATGTTGCTGTTCAGGGTATAAACTAGGATGGCCACAGCATGTGTTATAGTCATGTTCGGGGGGAGAGACTTTTCTTGGTTCAGCCAGTTTAAGTGTGCATTCTGCCAGATCTTGGAGTAATTCCGATTGGCTTCTACTTCTTTGGTGAAATAATCCCCTTCATTTAGCATTTCCATGGTCTGCTGGCTACAGCCTTGATACTGATCATCAAAGGAACCTGGTGTCAAGTCAATGACACTTGTGGCGGCAACCTAGGAGAGAAGAAAAATGGCCATTCTAATCTTTCAAGTTCTGAAGGTGGTGGCAGAACTGCTCTATTCTACAGAGCCAAGTTACCTAAGTGGAGGCAGCAGCTGCTGGCATGAGTTGCATACATGCGCATCACACTGACTGGTCTCTCTTGCATCGGTGACTTGGGGGAAGGACAGAGCTTACTCTTGTTTGACCAATATGGCTGAAAGTTTGAAATTGGAAAGTACATCTTGCAGGGAGGAGGTGACCCTTTTATATCATTGCAAATGGCAGTGGCTTTTAGGGGTCGGAGGGGTAGCACAGTGGAAGGGCACTGGCCTTGCATGCAGCTGACTTGAGTTTAATCCTGGGTACCTTATAGAGTCCCCATAGCCCATCAAGAGTGATCCATAAGTACAAAACCAGGAGTAAGCTATGAGGACAGCTAGGTGTGGCTCCAAAACCAAATCAAACCATACCAAACACACATCCTCCCTGATCCAGTAGGTGTGAGAAATTTGAAGGAAATAATAAACTAAAAGTTTTAATTAAATTTCTTTTCTTCATTGAAGTTGAGGGAACATGATTACTATCGGGTTAGTGTTGATGCCTTTGGTGAACATAGTTACTTATTTGCAATTACTTGCTTTTCTGTTTCCCCTATGGCCTTTTCATATTTTACTACAGAGCAGTGTTGTTCTTTGCTTAAACACAGAAAGACCATTAATTAATGCTGTTCTCCTAATATTTGGGAGTTGATTGACTCTGAAATATATCTACTCCTGGGCATTGGTTATAATTACTTGACTCAGGCTTCAGTAGCTGTAGTTCCTAACAACCCCAAAAGGGAGGTACCACTGTGGGACTGGGATGGACCCAGGACAAGTGGCTGAGCTATCCTGGCATCGAAATGAGACAGTCCTGAAAGCATAAATGCATGGTCTTGATGCAAGAGCTTAGTCTGGGATTTTTGGTAAAAGCCTTGCTTGCTCTCAGAGCCCAGAGAACTGAGTTTTGGGATCTTTGTTTCTTACTGTGTTTATTCAAACAAATGCAAGTATTGATAAAAAGTAAACCTAATTGTTTAACATATACAACTAGAGGGAAAGGCAAAGCAATGTAGATGTCCCTGGGAGACAGAGTGTTTCCTTGGGTTAATCTCCCCCAAGAGAATTGCCTCTGCCAAATATTTTATCTCTGTAAATGATCAATCATACCTATGTCCTATACCTCAACCCACCTCAGATGCTTTATAAGTATGCTAGCAGCTCTGCATTAAATGCGTCATTTTCACCGTTAGGTTGTGGTCCCCTATTTCTTCTCTCTGTCTCTCTGCTGGGGAGGCCTGGGGAGGATGAGAGGTGGCCAGGCCACCGAATGCATGCATCACACAGCACCCACACACTTTGTGAACTCACAATAAACCACATATAAATAAGATCTTTTAGTACTTGCCCTTCTCCCTCTGAGTTATTTTGCTTAACAGGAACCCCTCTAGCTCTACCAAAGTTGTAGAAAAAGCAAGATTTCATAGTAACCTTAAGGTTACTGTACTTTTTGTTTGCTCCACTGACCTCCTGCACATTCTCGTGGTTATTTTGGGAAAGGAGCACACTGGTAGTGTTGGATATTACACGAACAGTGCTCAGAGCATGTGCTCCACTGAGCTATTTCCCTGGCCCTCTCACAAGTATTTTAAGGAGTACTTACAAATAAATATTTACAAATAAATAGAATGTTGAGTCTGGAGTGATAGTACAGTGTGTAGGGCTCTTGTCTTGCACACGGCCTAACTGGGTTCCATACTGGCACCATATATGGTTCCCTGAACCCACCAGGAATGATCTCTCTGTGAAGAGCCAGGAGTAAGCTCTGAGAACCTCCTGGTATGGCCAAACACACACACATACACACATATACACACATGCCAACAACAACAACAACATCAATAAATTAAAAACAGATCGTCTGCCATGTATGTGTGAGACCCCCCCCCCCACACACACACAAAAACAACATCAAAGAAAAAAACCAACGAAGACACAAATAGTCGGCCTTGTATGTGTGAGACCCTCAGTTCTGTTCCTGATATCAAAAGTTTTTCCAAGACAGGGAGGGACCCTGAGTCAAGTATAGCCCTTTCGCACAACCATTTGTGGCCACAAAATAAAACAACAAAACTAGAATGTCTATTGAGTTTTTGATATTTAAGAAAAGTGATGAGAAATAGTAGGTTCTCCAGTGAGCCTCAGCAAAATAATTGCCCTTTCATATGCCCAGGATCTGAAAATATGTGGGGCTGGGAGACCAGAATTTTAACCACTGAAAGAAGCTGTGCTGAACACAAATCTATGTCTCTGATAACAATGGGTTGATAAAAACAAACCCTAGAGAGTGGCAGACCTGACCCCCAGTTGCGCTGATCTACATGGTGACCAGCCTGGATCAATTCCACAGGATGCAAGGAAACAAGACTCTGCATCTGGCTACATGGTGACCCCTCCAGATGAGTCCCACAGCACGCAGGAACATAGGACTCTGCATCTATCTACAGGCGACCCACCCAGTTGAGGCCCATAGCACATAGTAACACAGATCTCATACCCACTGCCACCAGTTAACTCCTGGGAGGAAGGAAGAAGAGCTGAGTGAAACCCAGCAAACCCACTTCTACCAGACACTGCCCAGCAAGGACACTTGCTGAATTTCAGGACTTGGGGACAGTAAAGGGACAGGCAATGGATAGGAGTGGGGAGAAGACGATCTAAATGGCAGCCAACTGGAAGTCACTTATGAACTTACGGGCATGTTACACTGAAGCTAAACCTTTGGTTCTGGAGTCACATCTTGGGGTTCTAAGACCTTACTCCTAGCTCTGTGCTCAAGATCACTTGTGGAGGTGCTCAGGGGACCACATGAAATGCCAGAAATCAAACCTAAGTCAGCTGTGTATATGCGTGGCATGCACCCTCTTGGTTGCATACTCTCTCTGACCCCTGAAACCAGAGCTTGGAAAGTAAATTTATCAAGTCTCATCAACCCATTAGTTTGAGCCATACTTGAGTGACCGGAATCCTAAGATATTACCATTTGGCAAAGAAATGCTTTTCTGGAAGAAACACAGCTCTCACTTAAGGAATGTATTAAGAGATAGAGAGATACTGACTCGTTACGGTCAGTGTCAAGGATATTGTACTAGAACTACCCCCCAAACACTCCCAAATACCCCACATGACCTTTGGTACTTTTACTATGATTCACATAAGAAGTCTTTTAGCTGTGCCAAGTGTAGCAAAATTTTAAGACTGCTTGTGACTTAAATAATCTGAATAAACTTGACACAACAAGTTTGGAAATATTTCCACAGCATCTGTTCGAGTCCAAACAAAATAGCCACAAATACTATGCTCTGTCAAATCTTGCCATGCTGAGCTTAAAAAAATATTACTATGACACTAGATCTCAGATAAGTACCACTCCGTGCCTACCACCAGGAGGTTATTTTTCATCCACTTTAGTCACAACACTTGTTTTGAGCTGATCCATGTGATAACAGTCTAAGGTCCAGTAGACTTGATCATTTTCCATTATTTGTCCTACAGTTACACTTTAACTTCAGGGTGAATGAAGAAAATAATACCATGCCTTGCTAACTTCCACAATGCCACATGTACAGACCGTAAAGATTGGCACTCAGTAAACATCCTTACTGACGTATCATTTCAGGGATCAGCTTCGCCTAGGTATGCAGTCCTCACTAGCCCACCGCTAAATGACCGTCCTCCTTCCTCCCAGCCCAGCTTTCATTACAATGCCCACCAGCAACTGCACCTGCGTTAGAGGTCAGTTCTGTTGAAGAATGCATCCCTTGGAGAAGGTTTTGTCAATCTTTTTTGCTGGCACTGTCATCTACACTAAAGGAACACAGAGCCCAGACAACTAAAGCTCATCCAAAGGGGTCACCAGGAGCCTTTTCCTCCATGGGCACTCACCGTGGGTTCCTGCAGGCTGGAGAGCAGCAGCAAGAGAGGCAGGAGCGGGGTCCTGGGGCGAGGACACAGACTGCCTCCCTCTGCCAGGGGACTGTATGCGTGTGCACGGACACTCTGCTCCCACCGCCTCATGGTGCACCGCGGCCGGGGAGTCCTAGAAGCTTCTGTCCTCAGCTGGAATCCTCGCTCACATACATCCCTCGGACGCCCCCGTTGGCCACCCGGCACCAGCAGCTTCTCCGTGGATGTTTTGGACGGCAACTCCCACTGCCTTGCAAAGCTGAAATCTCTGGATAATCGTAGACTTGTGTGTCCAATGAGGGAGTTCTAAAGGGAACCCAACGTCAGTTCCCAGAAAATACTCCCCAACAAGTCCGTACACGGGGAATTCCAAAGCCTGGTGCCGGTCAGGCTGGGTGGCTGAGCCTTTATTTTCTCAGGCAGGCAGGAAAAGCTTACAGGGGACCGCGTGGGGGCCAAGGACATTATCTGCAGCTCCAGGCTTCCCTGGTGGAGGATCTGATTGGCTTGGGACAATGTCACCTCAAGGTGGGTCCAGGCCAGGCTCATCTGGTGCTGCTGATAGGCCCGGAAGGGGTGTCCCAAAGCCCAGAGCCTTATGGGGCGAGTGTCAAAAAGGAGCTTCTCTCTACCACTTTCCCACGGCCTTAGGAATGACACAGAGCTTCCCAAAGAGGAGGTGCATGCGAGAAGGATGCTGGGGGACTGGTATAACCTCCGAAGCGATTGGGGGTGCTTTCTGCCGGTTGAGTTAAATAAAGAAGGTAGATTTCCAAGGGAGCACAGGGTGATTTATGTTTTCCTGATTCAGGAGTCTGGAGATAGCTCTGAGAACCTCTGGAATGTGGCCTTTAAGGACGAGCGTGGGGACTGACGTCCACCCCAGTGACTGCTGAGATGAGTCCCCAGCACCTTGGCCTCCTTAGAGCCCTGCCACCACCCTCCCCACCCCGACATCCTTCCTCTAGTCACAGTTCCTAGGAAGAAGACTTTTTTTTTTTTTGAGGGCTTGTGGGTTGGGTCACATCTGGCTGTGTTCAGGGATCACTCCCTGCTCTGTGCTCAAGGATCGTCCTGGCAGTGCTTGGGTGTGGGAGGGGGGGTTCCTATGCAGGGCTGGGCATGGAGCCCGAATCCTCAAGTGTTTTAACCCCCATGCTATTTCTTCAGAGAGCCGGTTTCTTTCTTTCTTTATTACAACTTGTTCCTGTAGATTCTTCCCTGTCAATTATTTAACTCTAATGGGAAGCGAGGCCTTGCTTGGGGTTTCCCCCTCAGTATTCTAAAATATTCGTGTTTCTTGTTACTTTCCATTCCCTTCTTTGTTGCTGTCATTGTGGTGCCCAGGGGCCGCACGTGCTTCATTTGGGTGCTCTACACCTGGTCACTGAGCTCGCTGGGGGTGGCACACTTCAGTGGCTGCGTTCACACATGCCTGGCAGAGCCCTGGAGTGTCTGCACTGGGGCTGAGGAAGCAGAGTCATCACTGCACTCAGCACATGTGGGCGCCACCAGGGGGAAACACTGGGCCTTATGCTTGCAATGTCAGTGTATTTTTTGTCACGAAGTTATCCTCTGGCTTTAAAAATACTTTTTAATATAAAATTTCTGACAATAATAGCATTTTATCCTATCAGAAAAGTTTAGAATGTCTAGAAAGACAAAAAGGCAAAGGCAACAATATGATCCACAACTCATTCTCAATAGTTAGAAAAGTGCTATTTAGACTCAGATTTTATACACAGACACACCATGACACGTTCTACGACTGACGTAGTACATAACTTTGCATAATTTCCCTTGTGTTTTAATTTAAACATGTTCCCATAGGACTTACTATTTACTGAAATATCATTTATATATGTTTTGTTTGTTTTGGGGAGACACCTAGTGGTGCTCAGGGCTTACTCCTGGCTCTGCACTGAGGGATCACTCCTAATGGTGCTCAGGGGTGCATATGAGGTGTCAGGAATTGAACCGGGATCTGCTGGATACAAGATAAATGCTTTACTCACTGTACCATTGCTCCGACCCTGAAATATTATTTTTAATGATTGCATAATATTCTAGTACAGGCAATACTGTGCAACGGAATATAGGCTGGATAACTTTACTTTGTCTCAGAACTGGGTTGATTAAAGATCAGAACTTGGACTAAGGTCATTCCCTCACTCTGTAGCAATTTCTGATGCTTCAGAAAGCTCCTTCCTCTCTGTCCTCTTGTATTTCCTCTTAGGGTAAGACATATCTGGTACATCCCGTTGAATGCTTTAATTATTCACGACCTTTAAATTATCTTTCAGCCTAAGATTTAAAAAAAAATATTCAGTAAAGGACTATTAGTTAGTACCATAATAGTGTGTGGAATAAATATCTTATATTTAACACATCTTCAAAGCTACTATTATAAGCAACAGTTCGTGATCAAGTGTTCATTGGAAGTCTTTGTGTCTCTTTTAACAGTTTTAAAGACATGATTCTAAGGATTTCATCAGTTACCAGTGGGAATGCATTTTTTTCCCAACTTAATGCAAAAGAGCTCTTTAAGACTTTAAAATTCCTTAGATTCTTCCCGTGGGCCAGGCTGTTAATTTGAGATAACAAGATATCTGTTTCCGAATTTGGAAGATGGGTATCTTGCAAATTGTTGGTTTAGTTAACTTAAAAAAAAAAAGGGCAAACTTTGCTGAACCTCTATTTCTTTAACTGCGTGCTGTGCTTCAAAGCCTAGTTTCTGTGCTGCCTCAGCTCATTTTAGTGGAGTGCTGGTGATGCCTTGTGAGGTTGTAGGCACTTCCCTCTCACTGCTGAGGCCCACTGCCCTCAGACTCTGTAAAGCTCCAGCTCCGAGAGCAGAGCTCAGAAGATTGAGGTGCTGGGAGCACATGAGATTCAATCCCAGCTGCTCATGGTCCCAGGAGCAATTCCAATCCAAACCCCTGAGGAATGCCAGGTGTAACACAACAGATTTTTTTTTTTTTGAGAGAGAGAGAGAGAGAGAGAGAGAGAGAGAGAGAGAGAGAGAAAGAGAGAGAGACAGATAGACACACACAGAGACACAAAGACACAGAGACACAGAGAGAAAATAATGCATTGAAGATTGAATGCAGGCTTCTCCAAAGGCAGAGAGAACCCCAGTTCACATCCCAGAGTTAGATATGAAAGTACACATCTCAAGATGCAAGCAACACACGTGCTAGGGCACCACACGGACTGGGCAGCAACACATGGGCACGGGCAGCACATGGGCTTGGGCAGCATATGCGTGCGCTTCCTTTGTTTAAGTTGGCTTTATAGGGGTTCTCCCCACCGGACCCACCCAAGCAATGCACTCTGACAGAGCTAGTCGTCTTTTTGCTAATTTGGGGGCTTATTTTCCTAATATGACTGCCACTTCCAGAATATGACCACCAGAGGGCAGGAGTACCCACAGCATCCTTCGGACTGTCATCAGAAAAGAGGAGAGGAGGAAAAGGAAAGGAGGGAGACAGAAACTGACTCAGAGATGAAGGGAATGGAAAAGGAGGAGAGTCAGGGAGTGGAGCAGGGGAGGAGGAACAGAACAGAGAGATTAGTAACCATCCATTGAGCGGGACAGGTCAGAGGTCTGCATATGAGGTATGTGTATTTTTGGATTCACTATCACTATCACCCCGTCATTCATCGATTTGCTTGAGCAGGCGCCAGTAACGTCTCCATTAATCTCTGTCATGTGGTACTGTAGCCCGATGGCATATTGGGGCTCTTTCAGGGTCAGGGGAATGAGGACCATCATTGTTACTGTTTTTGGCATATTGAGTACACCAACGGTAGCTTCCCAGGCTCTGCCGTGCAGGAGGGATAATCTCGGTAGTTTGCTGGGCTCTCCAAGAGGGATGGAGGCTTTGGGGCAGCCTCTAATCACCTTTACAGGTGTTCCCAGTCAGGCATATATGCAGGCGTGATACTCTCAGTAGCCCGCCGGGTTCTCTGAGAGTGAGAACTAGAGAATAAGAGGTCTTCTGGGAGCTTGGTTTTAGAGTCTCTGGATCCTGGCTATTGATGGGGTTATACGGCAGCTGGTGGGTGTAACTGTCTAGCTACTGGCAGATGGGGGATCTGGGTGGAGGAGGCCCAGTCCCGAACCGAGCAGGCTTAGAGATCTCAGCCCCAGGTCCTGTACACCCACCTTAGTTCCTCTGCCGGTTCCTTCATGCATGAGGCTTGTCCAAGTGTGTGGAGAGTGGTCTCTGTATGTCTGTGGCTGAGTTAAATTTGGATTAAAATGAAAAAAAATCAAAACAAACATTTTCTGACAATGTGTAGAGTCATTTAAAACCACCATTTCCTGTTTGCTGTGAGGCCCATTCTCTGATAGTTCTCAGGTAATAATGTAATAGTGTCAGTTCACTTGGGTGTTTTTTTCTTTTTTTTGTGTGTGTCACGCCTGGCGAGGCTCAGGGGGTAACTTCTGACTCTGTGCTCAGGAATTACTCTTGGCGATGTTAGGCAGACCACATGGGATGCTGGGGATTGAACTCAGGTTGGCTGCATGCAAGGTAAGTGCTGTACCCACTGTACTATCACTCTGGCCCCACTTTCAGTTCATTCGGAGCTTGTGGTTTTCTTAGCCACACCTTGGGCCTGGTGAGGCGCTACTGCTCCAGTCCAGATGTGCTGGGTGGTGCTCAGAGTGAGAACTTGGGGTCTTGTACAGGCAAGTGCTCCAGTCCTCCTGACTGTCTCCCCCATCTGGAGACAACACTTTAAGTGTGCAGAAATATTGCAGGTGATGTATTCGATATGCCAAACACAGTAACAACAAAATCTCCAATGGAGACGTTACTGGGCCCGCTCGAGCAAATCGATGAACAACGGGAGGGCCTTTACCTTTACCTCTTTAAAGGGAACCTACATGGACACAAGGATGCCCCCTCCTCTGCCCACACCTCAGCCACTGTTCTTCATGGTCTGTATTTTCTTCCAATTGTTTTCTCATTCTCCTTTTTTTTTTTTTTTTAAATTTCCAGGTCACTTGAAAGCAAGTTGAAAATGTTGTATTCCCGCACCTTAAATACTTCACAGTTTATCTTCTAAAGAACAAGGACACTCTCTTACAACAGCATCAGGGTACAAATGCTGACAACAGGAAACGGAACATTCATACATTCCTATGATATGAGCCATGGTTCCTGTGTGAATTTCATCGACTATTCCTGTAATGTCATTTAGAGCTTCCCCTCCGCCCCCCTCCAATCTCTTCAATACAAATCACCATTTGCATTTAGCTACCAAATGTTTTCAAAGTGGAATGTTTTTCTTCGGTATTTATTTTGCTTTCTGACCCTGACATCCTGGGAAAGTTGCAGCTGACTGTTTTGTAGATTACCCGCCCTGGGACTTGTCTATGATTTCCTGCAGATTC